ATATACTTTTTGGTTATGCATAACAGATGAAAATATTTACACCAATATAAGAGAGTGAAAGAAAAATTAAATCTGACTAATCGACCTGTTCAAAGTATGGTTTTTAATTTCAAGGAATTTTTTTATAACTACTTCAAATAATAAATATGCTTCCTACAATTCAACCGTATCCATTCATTTTTAATTATTTCTCAGCAGTTAAAAAATAAAACCAGTCTCTCAACTCAAAGAGAACTTTTTCTGGTATGCACACATCCCCTGTCTGGAGGAAAAGAGGGCTGACTGCCAACCGAGAACACTGCAGAGTGAGATGAATGAACATCACCAAGAGGGATGCACAGGAAGTAGAACCGAGAATGCTTCTGGGGAGAGGCTCAGAAGGGAGGAGGTGGCAGGAGATCTATTTCCTACAATACCCACTTTTGTATGGATCAAGTCTTTTAAAAACATATATGTTATATATATATATTACTTTTGCAAAAATAAATTTAAAGATATAAGTCAACACAATAAGGAACTGATAAGTCTTAAAATATATTTCACCCCTGCTTTTCTAGAAGCATTTATTAGACACTTGTTACACTTGCAGCACTGGTTAGGCATTAAAGAAGGAATAGGGAATTAGCCACCAGCTAGTACCTCGACCTCAAAGTGTTTAAAACTTATGGAGAAATTTATCTGATAAAATGAGTATTAGGAAAGAACATACACCATCAAACATGACGTGATATGGTTCATACTAAAGCAGTTCAGGAAAAACAACAACATATTTAGGGTACTTAAGGAAGTGGGGGTCCAGGGAGAAGGTGAGGATGGGTAGTTAGCCTTTGATAGGAGTAGACACTCTAATAACAAAACGAGTCTCCAAGTTAAATTATAGAATTCTGAAATTGGCAAATGAATGAAGAAATTATTTGTAAGAAATTGACCAAATGCATGTCAGAGCTTTAGAGGTTTTTGATAGAACACACTAACATGAGACATTTGTACCAAAAGAAGGAGATTTACTCAAATCACAAAATAAAATAGAGTGATTGGCTGCACAACTATCTTTATTCAAATGAATGATCTCTTTAAAAACTTACAAGTACAAAGACTCCAAAAGTCCATGTAAAACATGATCGAGCAAAAGCAGGTTCTATTCTTTTTTATCTGATTTGCTTTTAGTTCTTGTTTTTATGTTTCCTGGTTGACTATTTAGGAAATGCTTCTTCGGATAATGTCACCAATATCTATATCACAAAGAGGTCCAAAGACACCTTCACTGTTCCACCACCAAAATGACCAACCAGTCACCATCACAGGCTCCCCTGACCCACCTATTGCTAGGAGTGCAGTATCTTACTGCCTGTCAAAGGCAAACCCCTCACTTTACACCCTGGATCCTTCCTTCTTCCCACCCACTGCATTTTAATGAGAACTTTGCTTCTCAATTATTCCCTATAGCTTTTCTTGTCATCAGCTTCTCCCTCTCTCCAGAATTATTCCTAACAACATACAAAAATGCTAAATTCTATCTTTTAAAAAGAAGAATGAAGAAGAAAGGAAGAAAGGGGAAAAAATGGGAGAGAAGAGGAGAGAGGAGAGAAATGAAGGAACAGGGAAAGGAACGAAAACAACTCTCCTTCTAGCCTAGTTCCCTTTATGCTGTCTCCTTAACATCAACCTTTCTGGAAATGATGGCATATATTCACCTTCTCTGCACCCTCTCCTACTACCTTAACCTCAATCTAGTCCATCTGCACTACCGTTAGTGTTAGCATCACCAACACTGCTTTTGTTAAGGTCATCATATTTGCAAGTCCAATGATCTGGCTTCTATTCTTATCTAATTTAAACCCTTATTAGCACTTGGCATAGTTGGTCTCTCCACATTTCTAAAACTATTTTCTTTTCTTGACCTCAGTATTCCTACATTCTTAGTTCTCCTTATGCTCCACTGATAGCCGTGTTGAGGTATCATTTGCTGGATTTTCCTACTCAGTTTACATTCTAAACTTTGAAGACATACAAACTGCCTTGCATCTCCTTCCCTTTTATCTCTAGACCTTCCACCTAGGTGACCTTATCTAGTCCCATAGCTCTAAATTCTAACTTTATAACTTAGCCTTTATCTTTCTGAAACTCAAAACTCATATCCAACTGCTTACTTCACTCAGCTTCTTGAACAGTGGAACAAAAAGAACATAATAAATAATTAGAAGACACTTTTAATTTTTCTTGCCCAAACAGCTCCTTCCTGAGCTTTCCTCACTCAGGCAAGATGACGACCATCTGCCCAGCTTTTCAAACCAAAAATGTGAGTTTATGTTTTTCTTTTGTTAAAAATTCATTGGAATACTCCAACAAATTTCCATTATGCTAAGAATTTTTTTTTTTTTTTTTTTGAGACAGATTCTCACTCTGTTGCCTGGGCCAGAGTGCCTTGGTGTCAGCCTAGCTCACAGCAACCTCAAATTCCTAGGCTCAAGCAATCCTCCTACTTCAGCCTCCCACGTAGCTGGGACTACAGGCATGTGCCACCACACCCAGCTAATTTTTCTATATATTTTTTAGTTGTCCAGCTAATTTATTTCTATTTTTATTTTTTTATTTTTTCAGAGATGGGGTCTCGCTCTTGCTCAGGCTGGTCTCGAACTCCTGAGCTCAAATGATCCTCCCGCCTTGGCCTCCCAGAGTGCTAAGATTACAGGCGTGAGCCACCGCACCCGGCCTATGCTAAGAATCGAAGCAGTGAAGCAGGTTCACTGGTTATTTGTCTGAGTTTGATGAGAAAGAAAACCCATGCACACAAGTTACATGAAATGGGTTTTTAACTTACAGATAGGCAGCAAAGGACAAAGAAGCCTTACATTCATTGCTAGATGTCTCCTAAGGCTCAAGAGAGTTTACCCTGGGGTAGATGGAATCTTCACGGCTCATGCCCCACGTGCGCCAAGGCTGATGGACCCTGGAAAGCAGCCTGTTCTGGGTTTTATACTGCGGGGTGACATGATTCACTGGGCTAAAGCATTGCAGGGCATCCTATTGCTACAGGAGACGAGATGTTGCCTTTATATCAGGATGTTGTATTCCCAGCACATTCTACACTTATTCTTGAGAACCACAAATGAGAAAAAGGGCAGAACCAGGTCGGTCCAAGCCACCTAGAGAACTGCTCTGCAGAATCATGCTCTTCACCTTTATTTATTTACAGTGCTCCATGCAATCAGACTTTTGCACCTCTCTGATATCCTCTTATATGTCCTCCTCCTCTTTCAGTATGCTCCCGCCACATTGGCTATTTTCAATTCTGAACATTATATTTTGAAGTAAATGCTAGACTAGCCTACCTAATGTAGCCACCAATGTTCCCTATCCTATCACTCTTTTATAGTTTTCTGCATTGAAATTATCACCATCTGATATATATCTTCTTTGTTTGTTTATTATCATAGTAGAATGTTAACTCTATAAAAGTAGATAGAGTCTGTTCTTTGCTATCTTCCAAGAGTCTAGAACAGTCTGGTACATAGTAGACATTCCAGCAACTTTCATAGAATTATGATGAAAATTGAGGGAAATGCATTTTAATAGCATGTGACTCAACATACATTAACTGTTGTTATTTTAAATTATTTTTCACTAGCATCATTTGTATTAATAGTGTGATAGGTAGTTAGAGATAAAAATGGTATATATAATGTGTATAGGTGTTACCAAGACTATAGCATCCTAGTGAAGTGTTACTGGAACAGGGGCATATGCTTAGTTTTATTCCTCACGTGTGATGCTGGCCTTCATTAACTACTAGCAAATACTTGAATGTGGCCACCTGGGACAGGTCCTATATTAAATGAAGCCTGGCCATGTGAAGCTGGAGTCCCACCAAGTTTATTTTCAGACGTGGACTACCACCCAGTGTCCCTCTCTCTCCCTGTGCTTCCAGCTGAGAGGCATGGCTGGTGCTTCCAGCCTCAGGGCATCTCCTCAACCTGTCCCCAAGGAAAGCCCTCAATACTCCCCAGGAAGGACTTCACCACGATTAGTGAAAAGTCTTTAAGAAATGAAAGTACCCCCTCCCCACAAAACACATAAGGATACTTCCGAAAAAAGAAAAATTATCTTTGCAGATTTTTCAACTCCCAAAGAAAACATGTTACCTTGCTCCAGATACTCAAATTAAAATGAAACCTTAGGTAAGAACAAAAAAGATTATTACAGCCTTATACCAAAGGGTTTTTAAAGATTATTTAAGAAACAGATTTTTTAAAGCTGACTTTGACTCAGTGATTTTTATGAATCCCAAGGACTCTTGCTTTTGTATACCTCATTCTCCATAAAAATTATCAAAAATTATATTTTCTGACTATACTAATTAACATAAAATGAATGTTATTACATATTAAAACGTTTTTCTTTACCTAAAAGTTTATTGCTTTTTCTTCAGATTTTAAAATAAATTAAAACATTTTCATGGGTTTCTAAAAGTATGGGGGGCCCAACTGCTGTGTCTATAGTACCTAATGGATAAGTTGGCCCTGCTCAAATGAAAGAGAGGGAAGTGTTTTGAATGCAGCTTGTCTCCCAAATGGCTAAGTTATTCTTCAAACAAAGCACTATATTTGCATCTCACAGAGTTTTTATAGTACTCCATATCACTAAATAATCATTCAGCATGTATTTGGCATACTTAGAACACATAAGGCAATAAACACACAGACTGTTGTTTGCCAGGTTATTAAAGAAACTAAACTGAATATATTTCTCTAACCAAATAAAAGCTAAATTTTTAAATCATCAGACATGGTTGCCATTTAATATTCTTGAACATATGGATTCATAAAAGCACATAAAAACCTAAAAGATCTATATCAGGATAAAAGTTATATTTTGGTTTATTAAAAACCTTAAATATGGAATTGATAAACGAAAGATTTTACTATAATGATTAATTATTCTTCCCATATCTCTTCTCTTCCTGAAATTATTCAGACAGTTTTTTATGTACTATTTCTCACCTCCTTTCTCCAACTTCACCCTAGGAGGGACAGCTACACATTCCAAAGAGCCTGGGAGAGTCCCTAACTGTGCCTTTAGCCCCCGCCCCTCCCTGCTAGTCTTACAAGTATTCTGGTTAGACAATGAATTGTCATCGTATCTATAGTGACTCTAGAATTGACCATTCACTCAATTCTATTTATACTCTTGTCAAGTTAAACTATTTTAATAGTAGAGAATGATTACGAAGATATGGGTCAAATTAAATCCCTTGAAACACAGGTCTGGCTCTGTAAATTCCAAGTGCAAAAATTACCATTCACTTTCCATTGGCTATACAGTAAGGTGCAATATAAGAGTCTCCATAATCTGATCTTAACCTCTGAATACTCTGCACATTCTCCCATCTATTCTTTTCACTGTTTTCCACTTGCTTTTCATCATACTCTGACTTTCCCTTTTTCTAGCTGCGACAGATGAAATATTTTGCCCATCCCAAGCCCAACAGCAAGAGCCAAATCTTGAGAGCTGGCCTACCATGCCAGCATCCAAAGTACATCTTTCTCTGCCTCCCTCTCTCCCTAATATGAAGGGATATTAGGTGATAATGACATATTGCTTTACTTTTTCCCCCCAACAGCAATAACCTGCCTTGTACGTAGACAGCCTAGGTGTCCATTTATGTCATTATTTCGGGAATTAGCTTGTGCTCCAAATATGTCCTTTTCTACCTCCTGAAATATTGCTGGAGCTTCATCAAACAATTCTTTTAATTAACATACAAATGCTCCTGGGAGGGGCAATTTTTAAAGTTTTTGTCAATAATTTACACAATAGTGTAAGTTAAAATTTTGAAAACAGATTTTAATAAGGTGAATGGAAGTAGGCAATGGAGACCCTGAGATAAGGACAGGGAAAATTGGTACCTTGCCAAGAGAAAATTATTATCATTTCTAGTCCAGCTAGATTGATAGTCCATCAAATCTTTTCCTGCTAGAATCAGCTTTGAACCCAAGTAAAACTATTTTGTTGTTGTTTTTCTGGAGGCATTATTGTGTAGTGTTTAAAAAACATGTTCCAGAGTCTTTAAAACTGGACACAAATACAGATTCTGCCATTTACTTGCCATAAAACCTTGCACAACTTAAGAAACTTCTCTCAGCCTTAAATTATTTAATCTGTAAAAGATGATAATTCTTAACTAATGTCATTGTTATAAAGATTCATGGAAATAACGTTACAATAGTGCCTCGCCTACCCTAAATTTCAGTGAAAATCCCTTTGGCACTTTTCAAATAAAATGTATCAACATTTAAAATAAGGCAAACATTCTAAATTAGAGCAATTGACGAGGCAAAGTATCTGACTGGAAATAGGCAGCTTAGATAAAAGATACTCCAATCCCCACCTGTTCAGCCAAGTACTGTATTTCTATCTCCACCATTTTGGGAATTTTAAACTCTGGAGGAAAAACAAAGTAAAACAAATGAAACCAAAACAAAGTAATCTTGGGATATCAAGCACTGAAGATGGTGGAGGAAAAGTATCACACTGTAAATAAGAAACTAAGTAAAAGTCTACATAGTTAAGAGTAAGACTTCCAAGCCTCTTCTCACCCCACTTTCACTCCCGACAGCTAGGCTTAGAGCCTCTTACCTGCCCCGAACACAAGCGAGCTGGTGAGCAGGCTGTGCACCCTACAGTGAAGGTGGCCAATTGGCAGTCTTACCTGTGCACAGTAAGTTTCCAATCAGTACAGCTGATAATCACCAGATACTTTCAAAAGATCTTAAAAGAGAGCATCAAAATAAATAGAGATGATGTTGACATAAAAAAAGAATTGTGGGGGAAATTATGTCATTAGTATACTTAGAAGAATAATAGATGATACTGTATTTATCAACCATAGAGATAGAATGCTATTGAAAAAAAATCGGAGACTAAGACATGAGCAATAAAAATCATAAAATATAAAAATATTTACACAATATTAGAGTTGAAATACAAGCTCAAGGAAATATATTAGAAAAAATATGATAACTTGGATGAGAAAAGATAAGACTATTAGAGGCTCTAATACCTGACTAGTAGAAAACATAAATAATAAGGCCAGACATGTTGGCTCATCCCTGTAATTCTAGAACTTTGGGAGGCTGAGGCGGGAGGATTGTTTGAAGCCAGGAGTTTGAGACCAGCCTGGGCAACATAGTGAGACCCCATCTTTACAAATAAATTTTAAGAATTAACCAAGTGTGGTTGCATGCACCTGTAGTACAAGCTACTTGGGAGGGTGAGGCAGGAGGATCACTTGAGCCCCAGGAGTTGGAGGTTGCAGTGAGCTATAATGACGCCACTGCACCCTAGCACAGGCAACAGAGTGAGATCCTGTCTAAAAAGAAAAAAAGTAAAGAAAACATAGATCATAATAGGGAAATTATTTAAGAAAAAAATATAAGAGAAGCTTCCTGAACTAAAAATATATATCTCCAGACATGTGCCAAGTATGAAGAATGACAAAGCAAAGACTCATGCCAAAGCACAAAATCATAAAATTTCAAAATGTCACATATTAAAATTAGATTCTAATTGCTTCCCGAGAGAAAAACAAAATATAACCCTTTACAAAAGTTAATATACAAGGAATCAAGAATCAGAGGAGGCCGGGTGCCATGGCTCATGCCTGTAATCCTAGCACTCTGGGAGGCCGAGGCGGGCGGATTGCTCAAGGTCAGGAGTTCGAAACCAGCCTGAGCAAGAGCGAGACCTCGCCTCTACTATAAATAGAAACAAATTAATTGGCCAACTAATATATATACAAAAAATTAGCCGGGCATGGTGGTGCATGCCTGTAGTCCCAGCTACTCGGGAGCTGAGGCAGGAGGATTGCTTGAGCCCAGGAGTTTAAGGTTGCTGTGAGCTAGGCTGACGCCATGGCACTCTAGCCTGGGCAACAAAGCGAGACTCTGTCTCAAAAAAAAAAAAAAAAAAAAAGAATCAGAGGAGTCTCAGATTTATCTGAAGAAACACTGAGAGCTAGCCACCAATGGGACAAGTAAGGGTCTGGTACAGATATCTCAGATAGACAGATAGACGGAGTGTCAAACAACTTACCATCCAAGAGCTCTTTCTCAGAACATTTATTACAGGATTTACTTCACCAAACTAAGGAAACAAGAGAGAAATCAATGGAATTCCAGAAGAGTATTGCTATCTATAGGCCTAGACTGAAAACCATAAAACCCAATTTGAGACAAGGAACCCTCTGGGAGAAAAAGAACCAGGAAATAAAATTGACATAGAAAATTGTACTAACTATTTGAAGGTTATGGGGAGATATAGCCGTGAGTACAAAGACAATTAAGCAAATTGAAAGTCATAATCTATTATTTCAAGGAAAAGCCTCAAAACCTAAGCAAGAAAAGAACTGCCCGTGCTGAGTTGGTCTGCCCCCACCACATCTTGGAAGCAGAGCCCTACGCTCTGAGCTGCAGGACTATGAGAAGTTTGGGCTACCTGCCCAGCAGGAAGTTCCAAGGTATAAATTGGCCTCCTTCCAGCTGAGCCATTTTCTGTTCATTCAGGCCTTCTCTAGCCTTTGACTTCTGAGAATAAGCAGGGCCCTGTTTGGGAGCAGATAGCAATCTCACAATGCCACTACTGTCTTTGTTTTCAGGTGACTGGCTTTGCCCACAGCTTGCATGCTGCTCCAACTTCATTACAGCCCACTCTATTAGGCTGACTGCGTGCCTTTTAGTGATAGGAGACCAAGTCCTTTTTGTTTTGATTTTCATAATTTTCCTTTATCCTTATATATTCCCCAATAAATGTGGAAAGAATTGAGAGAAAAATTCTGTGGCCAGTGGGGTCTTCGTTTGATGCCTTGAACTTGGAAAAATTAATTGCTTCAAGAATAGATACCTGAATTTGTGAGATCTGGAGAAGTGGCACTGTCATTTTCAGGAAGCTTTCTTTATTTCTTATGTCCTTTTCATTCTCATTTTATGTTTGGTCCCATGAAACTAGCACCAGGTAGTAGCAAAAATCCTGACTTCCTATCACATTAAGTCATTATGTAAAGACAATGGGGGACAAATAATCCAATATTTCTGGGTTCAACTGGGATAAAATTGGACTAAAAGGAGAAGCAGGCATGTATAATGTGAAAGAAAGAATGGGAAATCCAGAGCTTTATTCTTGATTTTGTTCTAACAATGTAAGGGAAAAACACATGAACATCTACAGCATTTGCAACAGATGATGAAAAAATATCAGTGAGTTTCATATCCAAATATCTCCCCATGGATCCACTTGATTTTGGAATGAGTTGGACACATGAGTCCTGGTCCCTTTCTGTCTGCTTCTCTCATCCTTTACCTTTATCATGAGGACCCCTAGCCCATTGAACTAATCTCCTTCTGAATAGTCAACTCACCATTTCCTTAAAACCTAGTCTCAGAACACCGCGGGGGTTTAGCTTAACAAACTCGCTAAATTGCACTGACTGTCATGATGGATATTTCTGCAAGAACATTATGATAGGCAACAGCCAGATTTTACAATCACTAAGTTTGTGGTGAAAGTAACAAGAATCCATAATAGAGTGGACATAGGCTTCCAGACACCACTTTATTGAGGCTACACTAGAGGCAAGTGTGCCATAGGAATTCCGGGTGGCCGAGTAGTGGGTGACTCGCTGGATGGGTACCACTATCTGCACATCCAGATAGATACTTGACACGTATTGCCCTCGAATTTCTGTGAAGTTCACTGCAGCACAGCAGGTGCCATGGAATGGCTTGTGCTCCTTAAATTCATAGCGTGTTCAATGTTCAAGGAGTTAATTAAAAAATACTCTCCAGATTTACACATTTTCTCAGAGTAGATCAAAAGAGGGTTTGGAAATACAAGCCTAAAGTAAATAAGACCAACTGCTGATTTTTCAATTAGGTTATGTTTCAGGGATACAAAATTACATATTCCTTTCCTATGCACGTCCCCTGCACTTTTTAAACACAGAGCAACCCATTATTAAGCTATTAATCACCTCTTCCAATTAATTGCTAGAAAATGACCCAGGTTTTAGTAGTAGTGTTGCAATTGAAAAG